GCAGCCAGGAAGCCCTTAATCAACATACCCAGAACTCGCCTGCTCATGTACCATCATATGACTGCAAGCTCTGCAACCGATCATTCGGCAGCCAGCAAGCTCTCAATCAACATACCCAGGATTCGCCTGCACAATTCCAACTGCCCGAAACTCCGTTAAACACATTTTTCAAGTCATTTTCGGATTTTACCTTTGACCCAGATATTCCACCAAATGAATCGTATTTAGCTTTGCAAAGATTCTATGGCTGGCATAGAGGCGACGAGGAATCTAACCAGGCTTGGAACAATTTCCAGAGAGCTCTGATTGAAGAGTTCAAGCTCTGGTTCGGGGCAGAGGACGACCTTGGCTCTTGGCATTCCCTTTGCCGCGCACTAAGGATTGAACCGTTACCACGAACTTGTCTAGATTGTGAGAAGGTATTTCATGGTGTCTATACTTTGCCACAGCTACGATTATTAACATCATATAATAGGCTGTTAGAGGACTATATGTTAATATTGTTGACCTGATTGCTTGGGCTCGCAATGGGGGAGGTGAGGATCAGGTTAGGCTCTTCCATAGTTTGGAGGAGCTGCGTGAATATACAAAAAGGACCCGCAAAATCTTCCGCAATAACCTTGATGAAACAGGAAATAGCAATGTAGTCCTGAGGCATTTGCTTCGATTCATCTTTCAGGGAAATTGACGTCAGCGTCTAAATAGGACACTATAGGGCTGAACAAAACTAACGAAAGGGTACAGTAAACAAAAATACAAGAACTCGCACAGCCCTATTCTTTCTTTACACTTAAAATGCTGAATTGATCTGATAATTCACTGCTCTCCTGAGAATGTAGTACCTTTTCAACCTGGAACTTTAGATTCTCGGGCCTAAGGCCTTGATCCAGCGCCTTGCGTATCTCTCTTCGCCATATTTCAGCATACGTGTCTTTCCAATCCTCAATGAAAGCTTCCGCCTGAGCTCGCGTTCTAAAAGCCTTATGACAAGATCCGGGAAAAACGTTAACTTTTGATTCCGCACCAGCTTCTTTGCTAGTCTTTGTCAGTAAAATACAGACACGCCGGAGGATGCGCACGAACTGGTAGTCTTCATAAATACCAGGATTTCTACCATAGGCTACGGCATAGAATGCCTGGTTGCCTGGTAATGGTGCAGTCTCACCTGCTCCCTCCTTGAAAACTTCCTTAGGCCCTATGATTCCACGTCTTTTCATAGAGTCTCGAGCTTCTTCAAGAGTTGGGAAAGCGCCGTGATCTGCATCGCATTCAGTCACTCGTGGATGTGCGTCGCCCCTTTACATCGCGTTAATCCCCCAACTGATATGGCATTTAGGCAGAATATACCAAGATGAAAAGATGGTTAGCTCATCAACGCGGCCTTTGTAAACGGCATAATATTCGTTCTTCGACTTGTTCTTGTTCTTCTGGGCTTTAGATTTCATCCTGTGAAGCTAGCAAGAATAAAATCTCTAAGGCACAAATATACTGTAACCTTTTAGACCGATTGGCAGCTTTTTGGTGATACGTCTGGGTCACAAGCACGCCGAGGGGTGGAGGAAGTCGAGCGGTCCACAATTTAAAATCGTACCCACTAACTAAGATTTACATTCATGAGCCCCGCTGCCGTCCGTGACACCGCGCTCGACAGACCACGTGACCTATTATCATTCATGTCTTTCAATCTGGTTTTTTGGACGGCTTACATAAGCTACCCAGATGGGAATTAGTAAGTTAACTTAGTTAATTAAAGGCAACCTAACCAACCGACTCATTCGTTATATTATATGGTCCGTTATATTATACGGTCTACTAATACACACCTATCAAAATGTTGGGAAACATAGGGTAGTATTCTTTGTGAGGTGATCTGTGATAAGCACATAGATGCACTCATGGACACAGTTGAGAGGGGTGAGCAAAAGATAGACCTTTCTATTCCCATAAAAAATTTTTCTTGCGCGCGATTCGCGGCCGACATATGTGACCCGCAAATCACGACAGTAATGGGTCATCATGTGACTACTCAGTGATTAGTCAGGAGTCGGGAGTCGGAAATTGGCATAATCGAGATCGACTTTATACAGTATCCGCTCCAGGCGCCGAAGGCATATTCTCCACTCTACTCGCGGCTAAACCATTCAATCGAGCGAATTTAAGTTTCGTCAAAGCTTGAACGGAATAACTTAAGGACTCAGTTTGCTCGTGAAGGCGGTGCTCTAGCAAATATATTTAAGAATCTAACTAATTTCACTCATCCTCGGGCTCATCCATATCGCTCGTCCTGCGTTCACGATGCTCAAGCCACAGTGGAACACGTGTTAGCGAACCTGCGCGCCATACTAATCGCAACGCCTGGGAAAGATGCTGGGTCGTTATCAACAAAGATCTGTTGCAGATCAAGACACTTTGCTAACGCAATATCGCGGGCTCTGATAATATTTTCCCTGGAGTTGGTAGTGCTCACTCGGCCTAGGTGCCAATTGGCGTAGTTTTCGAGGGCTTCTTCAAAGGACTCGGGTATCTTGAACGAGCGAGCTTGTTCAATTCTGGAAGACTTCAATTGATCACCATCCAATGAATAGAACAAAGCCTGGGATGCCTGCGTCGGGAGGACATTAATATTAATAGGAGGAAGCCCTGATAGATCCGCAACAATATCGTGAGCTTTTCTTTGTTGATCAGTTTGTTGTCGCTCTTCTGCATATAGCTGTTCTCAGATAGTCTCGGGAATGTCGTCATGAGTATTGATAACTCCTTCCTCGTTTTCCACATATTTGACAAAGCTACGCAAATGGTGCGTTCTTAATCTGTAGTGCCTTTTACTCACTGGATCCTGCCAGCAGTACTGTCCTTCATGATGACAGGGCGGCCCGGGACAACGCATTTTCTTATAAACGTCTCTCCAAACAGATGGTCGCCATAAGGACTCTTCTGCGTCAATTTGATCATCCAACTCATCAAGAATTCAGTTAGTTTTTGAGAAAGCTCCTCGTTTGTCAGTTTTGCCGGACGGAGAAAGATGCTTATCCTCTATATAGCTGATAGATATGGAAAGTCTTAGCCTTTTTCCCTTACGGAACAGTGATTCCCACTTTAGAAGTTGCCTCTCTATAGCTGTCCAATCAATAGCATTAGTTTCAAAGCGCTTAGTAAGATCACGCTGTGAACGCTCGTTGACAGAAATCACAATAGTGGTATCATCTGACCGCACACGTTGACTACAAGCCTTTTTCTGGCGCACAACTTGATCGGCCTTCTCTTTTATTTGTTGCCAGTATGAAGAAGGCTTCAAAACCAGATCTTGTTTAGTATCTTTGGCTAGAACACAGTTGTTCAGAAGTACCCTCCACTCAATCAGGTAGTTTATACATGTTGACCCATCGTCATCATATGGGGTACTACCGCTTCTGACCGAGTCGTAGAAACCTAAAAAGCCCGGTCGAGGCAATGAGGTTGAACGTTCAGCGTGGCTTGGGGATGGAAAATAAACAGAGGGCGTATGACGATCGAAGTTACCCGGGGTGGGGGCATACAACGAGGTCTGTTCCCAGGGTTCTGCTTGGGGAGCAATCCCATTATCAGAAACAGAGCCACTTTCCTCAAGGCAATAGATGCCGCTGAGGAGCCTATTGTTTCATACGTCTGGCATTAGTACAGCTCTCATTGAATTACCAGCATGGGGAAGGTGGCGCCAAAAAGCTGAGAAGAATAATGAACAGAGTCATCATTATTGGTGCTCCTCATAGTTGCGTCCTGCACAACCTTAAATTAGAGGCTCTATTGCCAACATAAGATGGCAGGGCGGGAATACAAGCGCAACCAGGATGTTGTTGACAGATTGCCAGATCTGCCACCGCCCCTGGTTAGCATGGAAGGTTCCAGCAAAGAAACCATGGACCGTCCTTCTACATTGTATTGAGATTTTCGAGTGATGTCATGTTTTTTTTCTATGGTAAATTACCGTACCGTGAAAGTTTTGGAATATTATTATTCCGGAACTTTCCCTTATATAGGTTAGGGTGAAACATGTTTAAGAAATGAACTGAGTAAAAGCGCGCACTGGTTTTGCAACCAGGTGTAACTTTCATAAATATTTCTAGAGTTATAATAATTACTCTAATGGTGGCCTATAGCTGCTACTATAGATATAAACCACACCACACCCTTAAGCACGCAAAGTTTAACTGCCAGAAGTATATAAGTAAGAATATAAATTAAGTAATATTTAAATTCCAGGCCTGGCGGGTATTTTAAAATCTATCTAAGGATAGCTTTAAGCTTCTGCCATGTCTCAGGTGGCCTTCTTTCTTCTAGCCACTCTATTTTTATGGGCGCTATGTTACTAACCCTGGGATCCCAAGTATCACTGATCAGCTTAAACAAGATCAGTGACCTAGTCTTTTAGCTATACCATAGTCCTTTAGGTATACTTCACCTAGGCGGACCACAGTCCCTGACTGTGTTCAGTCCTTTAACGGAATGAGTAGAGGTTGATCAAGTGAAAGGGAAGCAAGGTGTTACTAACCCTGGGATCCCAAGTATCACTAATCAGCTTGAACAAGATCGGTGACCTAGTCTTTTAGCTATACCATAGTCCTTTAGGTATACTTCACCTAGGCGGACCACAGTCCCTAACTGTGTTTAGTCCTTTAATAAAATAAGTAGGGGTTAATTAAGTAAAAGGGAAGTAAGGTCCTTATCCCTATATATTAAAATAAGTTTAGCAAGTCTATTTAAATTGACTAGTACTTAAGTAATTAATATTGTTAATGTTATTATAAGAATCATGGAGAACTAAATATACTAGTAAATGAATATCCTTATATAGTTCTCTTATTATAGCACCCACTATGATATCCGCATAGCCCTGGCTATGATATCCATATAGCCCTAGCTATGATATCTGCATAGCCCTAGCTATGATATCATGTGACTTCTGGGTTAGCTTCATACTTCTGTAATCTATGATCAGAAGTTCTCCGCCAACCATTCTGCCTGATGAGACCGCTAGGTGGTTAGTGTCGTAACACAAGGTCCTTATCCCTACGTATAGGAATAAGTTTGGTGAGTCTATTTAAATTGACTGGTACTCAAGTAATCAATATTGTTAATGTTATTATAAGAATCATGAAGAACTAAATACACTGGGAAATGAGCGTCCTTATATAGTCCTTCGCATCATAGCCAATTCCGAGATGGCTATGATAAATCCGTAATTCCTCATAGCATATCATATGTAGTGGCCCAAGGGGTTTAGTAACAATGTGGTTAATAATTTAGTATTAATAATAATAGTAAGCATATAGGTGTATTATATATTATAAATAGTATTTAAGCTAGTATCATAGTTTATAAGCTAGTTTTAAGGTTATGGTGAAGTTATGAGATAGTTATAAATAGTTATAATTTAATATTATATAATTATTTTATAATTATAGATAATAACTAATAATAAAATATTAATATTTATAATAATAAATATTAATACTATTCACTACTATAATTAATATAAGAGATTTAATTATAGTAAAGAATATATAA